GGGAGAGGCCCTGTGGAGGGGAGAGGGTCTGTGAAGGAGAGCAGCCCTGTGTGGGCAGAGGCCCAGTTTGGGGAGAGGCCCCATGGAGGAGGGAGGAAGAAGCTCTCTGGACAGGAGGATTCCTGCTGAGGGAAGCTCCACTGAGGGAAGAGACTGTGAGGAAAAAAGCCCTGTGGAGTCGAGAAGCCCCATCATGCGGACAAAACAACGTTGAACAGCTGGACTCTGAGCCCTTTGTCCTGATCTACCACTCCTGGCTGTACACCCTTGGCCAAGGTCACTCTCTCTACTAAAACCACGGCCCACAGTGGCACTCTGGGGTCCTGTGCACTGGGTCCTGTAACTCCTCTGTGGTGGGCAGCAGCTGCTCTGGCACGGGCTGAGTGAGTGAGCGCTCAGCACGTGCTGGTGGCGCTGTGTCTTGAGGCCCCGTGGCTGGTGAAGCAGGCAGCAGGCAAAGTGATTCTTTAAGTGCCAGAGACATAGAAGCTGCTCTGCAAATAAGGAATGAGGCCAAGAAGCAAAGAATCACTGTCTCTTTATTCCCAAATAGCCCAAAGTGCAAATCTACCAGGAGCCCACAGACAGCTGAATGGAGAAATGAAGTGCGAACTACGGGTTAACTCCATCGGGATACTAATTCAGCTTGGAAGAAGGAGGGAGACTCTGAAGCACTCCCCTGGATGAACTGCAGGGACAACAAGCTCTGTGAAATAAGCCCTTCCAAAGAGTCTATCCCTGCCCGTCCTCCGCTGGATTCTGGGACTGTCATTTCCTGGAGATCCCACTGGCAAAGGAGTGGAAATGAGTTACGGACACCAATGAATTCAGCAAATGTTTGCTGAGGATCTACTGTATACGCAGCGCTGCCTTGGGGCTACATCCTGTTTGGGAGGATAAGAGGCAGACAACTGAGTGGACAAGAACAGATTAGATGAAGGAAGAGACAGGCAATGTGACGGAGGCAGGCGGCACTGAACAAGGGTGGAACAAGCTGGAAGGTGAGAAGACACTGGACCAGGAATCCCAGGCCCATTCTGAGCACAGGTGAAGGAGTTAAATACTCTTAGCCCAGTCTGGGAGTGAGGGGGGATGGCCACTGAGTGAATATAGAATGGATGTCTTGTGGGAATCAGTGAGAGCTTTGAAAATCCCTTCCTGGAGCAAGGCTGCAATGACCTAACCACCTCCCTGAAGACCTCACCTCCTCAGGGTTCTGTCAGTTCCACAGAACCACACTAGAACCCGGGATTTCAGCACATAAAGCACCAGAGTTAGCCATATCCAATCCACAACAGTGGTTTGGAATGTGTCGAGTTCCTGTTCAAGGCTAGGAACCCTGAGGGGACCACGAGGCTGTGGAAGCTTTTATGAGTTGGTGGAAAAGGTGCCTCTGGTCAGCCAGGGGAGGCAGGGTGGTGGCTGTCCTTATCATTGAGGTCTTCCGGTGTTTGCTGAGAGAACATGAAGTGTCAGTCACCCCATCCAGCTCCCCTGAGAAGTGTAATCAATTGCTTTAGACTAAGGGCTTGTGCTGGGCAGGCATTATGCCAGATGGTCTACCTGGGTGGGGGAGGGGGGAATCTTGTCTTCTTACCTCAAGTCACTTCTTCCTGGAAGAGACAACTTCCTGAACTGTCATTGGTCTGAAATAATTATGGTGTGTAAACATAAATATTATGTCCATTTTAATAAACATCAATTACATGCACTTCCCCTATAAAGACCAGAGCATCATTAGCTGTTAGTGTCGATGCTTTACAGCCAAAGCAGGGCTGTAAACGCGTGGCACTCCCTGAGTAACTACCACCCTCTTTGCCTCCCCCAGGATCTGGCACCATGAATGTGTCCAAGTCATCCTTCAAGCCCATAGAGAAAAGATGGCACAGTGGTAGGAATCTTCAGAGATACTCTTGTCCAGACCATGTATGGTGCCACAGAGTCTATCAGAGACCCTAGGGAAGTGTTACCCAGGTCTCAGCTATAATATCTTTCATAGTCTCTCACCACTCTTGAGGGTACTCTTGGTGTTCTCTGGACATTCATGGGTATTTGAATTGGAGAGGTCACTGGAAGGGAGAACATGACTGGAACTCAGGAATTTGCAGATGCTAGCCTTGCAGGCTACTGCTACAACTCTAGCTTTTGCTTTTGAGATAGAGTCTCAAATTGTCCAACTGGCCTCAAGGATGTAAGCCAAGGATGGCCTTCAACTTCATATCCCCCTACTTCTACCTTCTGAGTACCACCATACACTGTTTGTTTGGTGCTAGGAAGCAGACCAAAGGCTTTGTTCATGTTACACAAGCACTCTGCCCATCTACTGACAATCTCTTTCTTTTCTTTGGAAAAGGTTCTCACTCTACAGCCAAGGCTAACCTGGAACTCACTGTATAGCTTAAGTTGGCTTCAAACTTATGTCCTGCCTCAGTCTCCTTAGTGCTGAGATTACAGGTATGAGCCACTTACTATAACTGGCTTCCAGACCCTTTAAAGTTTTGATTTATTTATTTATTATTATTATTATTATTATTATTATTATTACTACTACTATTTTGAGATAGGGTCTTGCTATGTAGCCAAGGCTGGCCTCAAACTTACTTCAATCCTCCTGCCTCTGCCTCTTGAACACTAGGATTACAAGTGTGAGCCAACATGTCTGGTGTTTATTTTTATTTTGAGACAGGGTCATGCTAATACTCTCAGAGTAGCCTTGAACTCTCAGTCCTCTTGCCTTAGCTTCTCAAGTAGCTGGAATTAAAGTGCAACCTCCATGCCTGGCTTAGAAAGCTTAAAAAGGCCTTGGGGATGATAGGTAAAGTTGCAATGCAACAATATACATAGAAATTCTTTTTTAAAAATCTTTGTTTTACTGGGTGGTGGTGGTGCACACCTTTAATTCTAGAACTTGGGAGGCAGAGGCAGGCAGAGCTCTGCTGTGGAATAATCCTTCTGTACACTGTGAATGTGTATTGCTCTCATTGGTTAATAAAGAAGCTGATTAGCTGATAGCAAGGTAGGATAAAGTTAGGTGGGACAATCAAACTGAGGATACTGAGATGAAGAAGGATGGAGTCAGGGAGATGCCAGCTGGCTGCCAAGGAAGCAGGACATGGAGAAAATGAGGTAACAAGTCATGGGCCATGTGGCAAAGCATAGATAAAAAATATGGTTTAATTTAAGTGTAAGAGTTAGCTAGTAACAAACTTGAGCTATCGGCCAAGCATTTATAATTTATATTAAGCCTCTGAGTGATGATTTGAGAGCATTGTGGGACAGGAAAACTCTGTCTACAGATCTCTGAGTTCAAGGCCAGCCTGGTCTACAAAGCAAGTTCTAGGACAGCCAGGGCTATACAAAGAAACCATGTCTCGAAACAACAAATCATTAGTCTCTCTCTCTGTCTCTCTCTCTCTGTCTCTCTCTCTCTGTCTCTCTCTCTCTCTGTCTCTCTCTCTCTCTCTCTCTCTCTCTGTGTGTGTGTGTATGTGTGTGTGTGTGTGTACTTGACACGTACATGAGTGCACATGCATGTGTGCCACAGACCAAAATGGAGGTCAGAGGACAATTTTGTGAAGTCTGTTCTCTCCTTTCACCTTTCCATGGGTTCCTGGGATGAAACTCAGGTTGTTAAGCTTGCATGGCAAATGCCTCTATCCAACCTTACCATCATTTCTTCTTAAAATATCTATCTATCTATCTATCTACCTACCTACCTACCTATTTATTTATTTTTATTTATTTTTTTATTTATGTGTATGCATGCCTGAATGAGTTTCTGTGCACCACATGCATGGAACTGGAGTTACAGATGGTTGTGAGCAGATTAATATGGGTGTTGGGAACTGAATTCATTCCTCTGCAAAAGTGGTAAGTTCTCTCAACCACTGAGCCATCTTTCCATCAGCCCCTGTGGAGCGCTCTTGTTGGTCCTATAAGAAGAAGTTCTTAGCACAGTCACTATACAGTGTATATGGCAGGTGCTCAATGCAAGGATCCACCACAAGCAGTCTGGAGACTGACTGGCCTCCTGGAGGGTGATTTTGGCATGAAGCTCCAGTTATTGAAATACTTTCTGCTCCAAGTGTGTAACAGTCTTAGTTGGAAGATGGAGAAACTAAGGCTTGGTGACTACTTGAGATTTAACAGCTGCAGCCAGATGTGGCTCTTGGCACTATATAAACAGACTTCCCATGTCGAGGACATTGTTAGGGATGAAGAGCAGGTCACTAGAGGGAATGTTCTCATCTCCCTCCTTCAGAGGTTCTGGGAGCACACCAAGGAGGAGGCAGAAATCCTGAAAGGGACACAACTGGCATCTCTCAGCAAGGGCTAGTCCCTTTTCCTGTGACACAGCTCTTCAGACAGCCTGGGGTTCATTTGTAGTGATATATTGTGTACCCTGATAAATTTGCCTCAAGATCAGAGAACAGAACAAGCCACTAGATTAAACATAGATGCCAGGCAGTGGTGGCACACACCTTTTTTGTTTTATTTGAGACAGGGTTTCTCTGTGTAGTTTTGGTGCCTGTCCTGGATCTCGATCTGTAGACCAAGCTGGCCTCAAACTCACAGAGATCCTCCTGGCTCTGCCTCCCGAGTGCTGGGATTAAAGGCATGTGCCACCGCTGTCTGGCTGGAGAGAAACAGAGCCAGACAGTCGTGGCACACACTTTTAATCCCAGTACATGGGAGTCACATGCCTTTAATCCCAACACTAAGAAGGAAGTGATGGCTAGGTAAAGAAAGGTATATAAGGCATGAGGATACAGGAACTAAAAGCTTTTTCAGGCTGAGGAGTTCTAGAGGTCAGATGTGGCGGTGGCTTGTTCCTTTGTCTCTCTGATCTTTCAGAATTTACCCCAATATCTGGTTTGGGTTTTTATAAGACCATTTAAGATTCCGACAACATTCATTCCTGAATCATGGCCTTATCTAAAGGACATCTTCACACTGGGCTGTGACCTAGAGTCAAGAACATCCTCAGTGTGATCTGAACTCAGCATAAGCACAATCAAAACTGGTGAATAGAAAGAGGAATTATCCACAGTGAACTTACACACATTTCCCATCAGCGTTTTAGCAAACTCTGAACTCCGTGCCTTGGTACAAAGGCCTGGCTTATCTGTGCTCTGTACATGGATAGATATTACACCTCATCAAAGTCACCTGGACTCCCCCAGCTGTGCCCTGTTGCTTTCAGTTTCTCAGTGCACTCTGCCCTGTCCTAAATCAGGACCTTGTCCTTGCTTTTCCTGGAGTCTGATATATTTAGTCCCTACAGTCTGTCATCCCTTCCTGATTGGAAAGAATTGGTGCTCTTCCTCCCTCTCTCCCTTCCTCCCTTTTTTTTCTTTTTGTGTTTGTGTATGTGTGTGTAAGCCTAAGGTGACTGAAGGATGTAGTTCCTCAGGAGTCATGGGGTTTGGGGCAGGGGATCAAACTCAGGTCCTTCTGCATGACAAACAGGCTTCTGTCTGTCTCCTCAGCCCTAGGAAAAAGTATCTTTCTCCTTCTAGCCTGAATCCAACGTCCTGCTCTCAAGGAGCTTTTTGCTGACAGTACCGCTAAATAGATTCCCCATTTGTTTCTTTTTATAGCATTTCCCACAGTTGGTAACATTGCAACTTAACCCTGAATAGTCCTCTCCCGCTAAGATTAAGGGTCCCATGGACACACTGTTGCTGTGTTTATCAATTACCTGCTAAGAGCCTAACGCTGAGTGCCCCACACTGTTGAACAGAGGGAAGTTGTGATCGCTTCACTTTGTTTCCCAGTCCTGGCACACACCAGCTGGGCTGTGACTTGGTGGGACAACTGTCAGTTCTCTAAGCCTCTGTTTCCTAGCCTGAAAAACAAAGATGATGGTAGTCCCTCCTTTCCTGGGAGAACTGAATGAGATGGGATTGAGCAATGGGAATTGCCAGGAACATCATGGGTGTCATGGCTAGAACTGTGTCTTCAGACAGATACATGGAAGCCTCACCCCTATGACCTCTGTGTGAACCCCCATTTGGAAAGTTTGTCTTTGCAGATTCCATTAATGAGGATGAGGACAGTCCTCAAAGGGTTTGCCTCTGGGCCCCTGGGTGCCGGGTCTGTAGTGGGGTTGGGAGGAGTGTTGAGGTAAGGGAGTCACGTATTGGCACCTTGTGGTTGGAAGAAAGAAGCAGGTTACAATGGTGACATCCTGACTTATATAGCACCCCTCTCCCCAGTATCCCGGAAAGAAGGCGTCACTAACTTGTCTAGCTCCAGGCTTGGAGGTCAATAAGAGGGGTCCAGGTCCAGCCCAGCTCTGGCGCAAGGACCTGCTTCTCTGCATCGTCTTCTCCCTGCCTTGCTGAGCTTGGGGACAGCAAGAGCAGTTCTGTAGAGAGCGGATGGCTACTCTATCCTTTCCAACGAGGTCACTCAGGGGCCCTGCTGGAGCAGCCTCCTCCACAGCGGCCTGGCTTCTGTGGCAGGCTACAGATTCGGAAGCTACTTTCATCAGCCCTGGGGTCATGTGGGGTGGAGTAAAGCAGTGGTGTAGAAAGGGACAGGGGAAGAGGAAGCATCAAAGGCAAGGTAGGATCAGAGCTCCAGGAGCCTGGGAGCTGATGCTGGTGTTTGGTTCACTGTGGACAGGGTACTGTTTTGGACCCTGTATGAGGATCGTTTCCTTTGACAGCAAACCATGATGCCTGATACCATCACTGCGAACATTTTAAAGATGAGGATGGTAGTGAGCTTAGATAAGCAGGGCCTGGCTTCTACCCAGTCCCATGCTTCTCCTCCATGCTAGCCTACCTTTGAGATGGACAGTTGCTGACCTCACTGTTAAAAGCTCTTTCTTGAGTGAGTTAGAGGAGTTGGAACTAGATAGTCCTTGGAAGAAGTTTGGGAGGACATTGAGGGGACTTGACACTTACTGACAACTTAGTGTCTACAGAACAGGGCACACTTTTGGCTGGGTTTGGCTCCAGTACAGGTGAAGGACAGGACTATGACTCCTCTGTCCCTTCATGTATGTCTTAGTTAGGGTTTTTTCTTTTTTTTCTGTGAAGAAACAGCATGACCACAGCAACTCTTTTTTTTTTCTTTTCTTTTTTTCCGAGACAGGGTTTCTCTGTGCAGCTTTGCGCCTTTCCTGGAACTCACTTTGGAGATCAGGCTGGCCTCGAACTCATAGAGATCCGCCTGCCTCTGCCTCCCAAGTGCTGGGATTAAAGGCGTGCGCCGCCACCGCCCGGCTGACCACGGCAACTCTTCTAAAGGAAGGCATTTAATTGGGGCTGGCTTACAGTTTCAGAGGTTTAGTTCATTATCATTATGGCAGCACATGGCAGTGTGCAGGCAGGCATGGTGCTGAGAATCCTACATCTTGATCCGCGGGTAGCAGAAGGAAAACTGTGTATCACACTGGATGTAGCTTGAGACCTCAAAGCCCACCTCCACAGGGCCACACAGACTCCAACATACCTCCTAATAGTGCCACTCCCTATGGGCCAAGCATTCAAATGCATAAGTCTATGGGGGGAGGTGTCAAACCTCTCACATAGCACCATCACAATGTACTAGAGAATCAAAGGCCCAGGAAACGAAGCAGTTAGAATCAAGAGGCCACAGCAGAGGCTAGGCCTTGACTGAAGCCCTGGAATAGGGTTTGCACCATTTGGAGGAATGCAGGGCCACTGAGAAGGGGAATGTTAGGAAGGGACTAGGCTTGGGGAGGCTGAAAGAAGTCTCCAACCAGTTATAGTGATACACTCATGGAATTCCAGCTACTTAGAAGGCTAATGCAGGAGGAGCCCAAGTTCAAGGTCTGCCTAGACTACAGACTGAGTACAAGGCCAGTCTGGGCAATTTTGTATGACTCTGTCTCAAAATAAAGGATAGAAAGAAAGTTCAAGATGCATGCATTCCTAGAATACATGAGGGATTAGGGTCAATGCCCAGTACCTGTAAACAAATAAATAGGGAGAAAAAGGGGAAAAGATCTGAAGACCATGGACACTTGGACTTATGTGTCTGAGCTGAGTTGAATGGTTAGGTGCCCTACATGAGGGTGCTTGGCCTGAGGCAGACCATGGAAACATGTGTGGGCATCATCACTTAGGGTAGATTCTTATGAAATGGTATGAACCATATAACAGGGACAGGGCTGGGATGTTACTCAGTGACTGCTTACTCACTGTGTGGCCCAACAAAAGCTACAAACCTCTCTGGAGCCTCAGTCTGTAGCTGCAAAGGGTGGAGAACCCCTTTGGTTGCAAAGGTAGAGTACAGGATGGTGTGTGTAACAATGTGGGTATCATTCATGTTGGTTATGGGGAAGTGTTGAATACATTTCCCTTAATCAGTGTTGCTTCACTTAAAAACTCATTTCTAAAGTGTTACAAAGAAAAAAGGGCAGGGTGGGCTTTTGAAATCTTCCTTCCTAAGTACCTCGCTGTATAAATGGGGAAGCTGAGGCTCAGTCAGTGAGATTCGGTAGAGAAGATCCTCGATCTTACGAGGCTTGTCCTGCCTTCAACCCACCAGAGTGCTATTGAATGCCACAAATCACCCTGCAACTCCAGCCTGTTGTTCTCCAGGCATATATGTGACAAACTCTGCCTCAGCAGGTGCCCTCTATGATCCCCACTAGAGCTGAGCATATCTGAGTCAAATGGTGTGTGTGTGTGGGGGGGTCAGTCATCTTCACCCATCACTGATGTGTCCTTGTGCAGGGGACAGGTCCAGTGGTAGGTGCTCTTGAACCTGGAGAGGTGAAATGATCTCTCTCTGTCTCTCTGTCTCTGACTCTCTGTTTCTTTCTCTCTCTCTCTCTCTCTCTCTCTCTCTCTCTCTCTCTCTCTCTCACACACACACACACACACACACACACACACACACATCGAGAGAGCAACTATGATAGTTTTTTGCACAACATGGTGAATGAGGAGCCTCTGCCACTGCCTCTTTGCTGCCTCTTCCTCTGCCACTTTGTTTCAGCCAGAGGCCTCTGGCCTCCTTTGTGTTCCCTGGAGACCACAGCCATGGCACCAGAGCTGCAGTTATCCTGAGTTTACCTCTGCTGATCTGTACCCAGATACTTGAAGGAAGACGGTGTACAGAGTGGCAAATGGAAGGACACAGAAGGCCAGATTGCAGAAATGAACCCCATGGACAAGGACACTGCTCTCCCGGAAAAGGGGTCTTGATGGGAAAACAAATTCACAAATAAGATACTCTCAAGTATTGATAAGAACTGGAAGCCGAGAAACAACACAAGACTGGGAAGGTAGACTGCTATAAACTGGGCACCAGGGAAGGTATAGCTGGATGGTTGACACACCTGACCCTGGAAAAGGAAGGAGCCAGCTAAGCAAAGATCTGAAGAGCCTGTGCAAAGCGTCAGCAAGTGCAAAGGTCCTGAAGCTGGAGTCCAAATGCCTTCTGGAGCTTTTGACCAATACGATCTGAATCACAGGGGTTATTTCATTAAGGAAACCACTTCCAGTCCTTTGTGAACCTCTCCACTGCCTCCAAATCCTCCCCATGCAAGCTAATTCCTACTCACTATGAATTTTTTCTTTTACGAAATTCTTCCTAAAACCTTAGGGAGTTCTAGTAGTCTGTGGTTTATGAAAAATCACCCTGTGATTCAGTAACAAAAATAAAGTGGGGGGGGGGTTGGGGAGACAGCACAGTTAGTAAAAGCATCTGCATGTAAGTATGAGAAGCTAAGTTTGGGTCCCCAGCACTCACACTTAAAAAATAAATGGGAACACGAGTGCACACCTTTTTCTTATGTTTTTCTTTTTTGTTTGTTTTGAGACAGGGTCTCACTATGTAGCTCTAGGTGTCCTGGAACCCACTATGTAGAACACACTAGCCTTGAACTCAGAGATCCGCCTGCCTCTGCCTCCCAAGTGCTGGGATTGAAGACATGTGGCACCACACCTGGCCTAAGGGGCGCACACCTTTAATCCTAGCACTGGGGAGTGAGCACAAGAGGACCCCTGGACTGGCTGGCCAGCCAGTCTAGCTGAACCAATGAGCTCCAGGTTCAAGGAGAGGCCATGTCTCAAAGTTAAAAAAAAAAATAGTGCGCTGATAAGAAATGGCTCTGGATAAAAGAGTTTGCTGCCAAGCCTGAGAACCTAAGTTTGATCCCTGGAATTCCCATGGTGGAAGGAGAGAAACTAACTCCTGAGGGCTGTCCTCTGACCCCACACTGCGGCTGAGCATGTGCATACACACCAATAAATATATCTAAAAGTATGAGGTTGAGAGTGATTAAAAATGACTGATGTTACCCTCTAGCCTCCACCTGTGCTTGCCCACCAAAATCCCACGAACACATACACACAGAAAATAGTCAAAAAAATGGTGTAGCTACAAAGTGGCTGTGTTTTCTTTCCTTTCAGATAGTTGAGATACATTGTTGCTATTTTGAAACTTCTGTACTACCAGTATGCCTTTACATAAGGTGCAGGCTAGGTGACAGTAATTTTATGAATGTACCAAAAATGTGTGCAATTTCTCCATATTTTGGGAAATGTTTCACTGGTCCAGAAGATTCCCAATGCTATTTATTCCCACCTTTGCTCCCACATGGTCCTGGATTTTCCACTGACTCCCCATGTTATGGAGTTCGACTGGCTGCCCAGCCACGAGCCAGGCCTAGAACAGGTAACCAAAGGATGTGTACTAAATATACTGTGGTTTGTGGCTCACCTGAGATGAACCCCCGAGGCAACAAAACTGGGAGCAAGCTGATGAAGGGAAAGAATTGGGCAAAAAGGAAGAGACCCTCGATATCATAGGCAAGGGCCTGGGCTCAAATTCTGCCTCCATCCAGAGACCCCATTCATTCCCTGCCAGCCTGTTCTGAGCCTCACTTCTTACCAGTGAAACCGGCCAGTAAAGCTTTACCCTGGGGTTCTTGGGGGAGAGTGAAAAGGTGTTTGCAGAAACAGCGTGGATTCTATGAAAGCAGGGTTCTTTTAGGTTCCTGTCCCCGGTTTACATACAGAGTCCAGCCTACCTTAGCAGAAAAGTAGTTCCAGTTCTCTGCTCCACCCACAAGCTATGAGCTGAGTATGGGAACTTTGGGTCTCAGGCTCTGAACCCAAGAGCAGGGACTTGTGCCTAGGGATGCTCAGTAAGTTCAATGAACACATGACTGCGCAGGTCACTGCTCTTCTGGACCCGGTCTTTCCTTTGTACAGAAGTCACATCCCAGGCTTTCCTCCCTGGTACCTCTGACATCTATATCTGCTTTTCTAGAAGAGCCTAGGAGTCACATTTAGGGAAGGTGAGTAGGAGGGAAGAGACTTTGACTAAAAGGTTAGTGCACATTTTTGGCTCCCACTTCCGAATCTTCCAGAAGGCCTTTTATTTTTTGCCTACTTAATAATAACATGAAAAAGCCATGTCACTTTTTTAAATTGAAGTCTTTATGTTAAGCCACCCACTCCAGCCATTCCAGGACGCGGTGAGGAGGGGGCGTGGACAGGTGAAGCGCGCTAAAGGGTAGCGCGTAAGTGGGGGCTCCCTGCTAAGCCTGGTCTGAGAGCCCCCGCGGGAGTCATCGACCCAGGCGCCGGCTTTCAAAACCTGGTAAAGCTTCAAAGTCTCAGGTCCCCAGGTCAGCCTCGTGCCCTCTGTGCCTCCTGCTTCCCCCCACCCACGGCACGAGGGCGGCGCCCCAGCGCGCTGATGTAATCCCGGCGCCTGGGCGGAAGGATATGGAACGCGGCGCTGACTGGCGGGGCGCTGAGGCCGTTGCCAGGTAACGCAGCGGAGCCGCTGCCGCGCGCCGCCTCCCGCCCTCCGCCGCCTG